TGGTTTTGTTCTTCTTTGGTTCCTTCTTTTACTTATTAAACTGCCTTTTCTCCCAACCCGTGAATTTTCTCACTTTTACCTTTCCAATTTCCCCCCATCCCACTGCAGGGGCAGAGGGAGAGAGGGAGTGAGCAGCTGTGAGAGGCTGAGCTGCTCACTGAATTCAGTCAAATTCAATTAAAAACACAGGAAAGCTCCACTGGTTTTAAATATACTCATAACCTATACAATTTGTCCCAATAAATACATTTTTTTACTTAAAAGCAGTGCTGTACTACTTTTAGAAAGGGAGTAATCAGCAGCTAGTGGCTGGATGACATTTCAGGCAGTGTATCTGAAGTTTAGGAGGAGACTTTAGTGTTCTATATTTATTCAGGAAGGCAGAGAAGTAAAACTTCTCCCAATTTCCAACTTCCACTCATCCTTGCAAATTAAAATAAACTAATTAAAATGAGCACAGAAAGAATAAAAACTGAAAGAAAGACCAAATGTTCTGGAACTTGTGGAAGAAGTTACTGACATGAAAAGCTGGTTTATGATGTCAATAATATGTTTCTGCTGCTTTACCAGTGACTTTGCTCAAGTCAAGATCAAACTTTTATTAAAAGGTTTTTTTGTATCACTTGTTCTTCTTGAGTTTGGTTTTCTTTGTTTCCTTCTTTTATTTATTAAACTGCCTTTATCTCAACCCACAAATTTTCTCACTTTGACCTTTCCAATTTTCCCCCATCTCACTGCAGGGGCAGAGGGAGGGAGTGAGTGAGCAGCTGTGAGGGGCTGAGCTGCTCATTAAATCTGAGTTTTTGAGCTGTTCATTGAATTTGAGTTTTTCTTACTGTGCTTTTTACAAAAGTGTTTAAAACATTTTTCAGGTATATACTCAAAATTGGTTGCATTCTGCTATTGTTAACAAATCTTTCTCTCATTACTTTTTATTTAGGTGGTAAAATTATATCTGCTGAGAAAATCATTCTGAGCTATGTCCTTGGTGAAAATCTGCACATACTTCATGACATGGCACATCTTTTCAAAGAAAGCAGAGACCATCAACCATACACCTAGCTAATACCACATTAACACAGTAAGAACCAGGTCTCCTGGGAAGCAAGATGTGTTTACCACCTTGCAGCAGCACCACTGTAGAGAGAGCAGTGGCAAGATGCAGACATGGCAGAGCCAGATAAAGGACAAAAAAAGAGCCTCTGATTTCTACCATTTGAGATCACTGTAATGTAAACTGGTAAACAACACAAAACCTAAAAAAATAAGAGCAGACAGGCAGGGAGTCTCACAGGTGAAGAGAAGGTTGTAAACCTGCTGGAAAAGAAAGGGAGATGCTGTTGCCTGGCTCAGCATGCTGAACAGTGGGGCAGAGTAAGAGGTAGTTAGGAAAAAACCCCAAAACCCTGAAAAATAAGTTTCCTTTCTGAACAGAAAACACTTTTGAGGAAAAATATGTATATCTGCTAATTTTTAATGTATGTTCCGTGTTTGGGCCATGGTATAATTCCTAAAACAGGTAAGGACAGACTTATGGGCACAGTGATGAAAAAAACAAATAGTGGAGAGATTATCTCTATCTGTGAACAGGTACTGAAAATTAAGGGAAAGATACATTTTAATAAATCTTTTTCATTTTACTAAGAGTATAATTGTACAGATTTCAAGTGGCTAACACCTAGCAGGACTTCAGGAAAACAAATGGGCCACACAACAGAAAGGCACCAGTAAAACAGGCAGTAAGACACAACACTGTGCTTTTCTGTAGTGTACCTTTTTGCCATAAGGAACTCCTGTCATATCTGCACTTGGGCAGAGCAGAGCACATTAGGGTTTTCTTCCTGGCATGCTGTGGCAGCTTTTGCTTTGCAGAGTTTCCTGAATGACTGCATTAATTTGATTGACTCCAGATCAATGGTGTTGCTAAATAAGATTAAATTACATGTTCCTTCTGTCTGTGTGTTACAGGAGATTATTCTTAGCAGAATCTCAAAGGAAGCAATTAGCTGACCACTGATGTAATGAATTCTAATTATTTTTTTTGTACAAACAAAAAAGCCAGATCATTTGTTTAGCAAGGAAGTGTAATTACCCTGAGCACTCCAGAAAATAAATCAAACAGCACTACCTAGACCTGTAAATAATGAGTCTTTGACTTCCTATTTATGCTAAGAATGCTCGTGGACTATTTTCAGGTAGCTGGGAGCCAACCTCTGAAAGTAACATTTATCATAGTTATTATTGAGCATTTGCTTGATTATATTCTTGGGTGTGCTAGGTGCCCTGCAGAAAGATCCATCTACATTGGCCTGTCACTGGCACCTGCTAAAAATTCACTGCAGCCAGTGCAATTTCCTGCAACTGTTTTTCGTTAATCAACAAGAAGTTGCTCACATCACAATCATTAGCCTGTACTGCTCCTAAGGGCACCAGGGGCTAGGGGCATGATCTCAGCAATGGATGAATGATCAGAAAAAAAAAGCACATTACTCTGGATGGAGCAGGCTCTATTCTGCCCAACATTTGGCCATATAGGCTAGAAATGCAATAAAATCAGAAGACTGGCCACAGATGGGTATTTTCCTTCTCCAGGTTGATCTGCTGCTGCAAAATATTCACAGATCAGACAGGAGAGACAGGCACTCACTGGGGACCTGGTGTTGCAAAAAGCAGAGATCAGTCCAAAAATACTTGAAATTCTGCTACTTCTGCTGATTTTGTGTGTCTCAAAAGCATGAGGGAGCTGATAAATTAGAGATAACCTGATCCTATTGCATGCAAACTCATTGGATGTTGCAAGAACGGTGATACAGCCTCCAACCACGTGCACTTCCTGCAGATACTGACTCTTGACATCATCTCAGGGTAGCTGGTTTCCTTCACCATGGTTTTGAAAGGATATTCAAAGATTACAATAATATTTTGGTTAATCATTCTTTCATTTCTAGCCGTATTTTAGGTGTTAAATCTGAATATAAAGTCGACTGCAAAGCCATGAGTTCTGCAGTTGACTTGCTTATCCTCTTAGCCCAAATAGTGTTGCACCCAAAAGGAACCAACATTATTTTCTGGCTCTCTTAAGTGGTGCTCAACAATCTTACGGCAACATAGGCTCACATCCCGATAAAACCCTTAGCCTGAATGGAAAAAAATCAAAGACACCTCTTACAGCACTTGCATTCTCATTGTAGTGACACTCTTTAAACACGGAAGGAAAGCTCTGAAGCCAACAAAATCTCACTGAAGTGAGCAGGGTGTAAGTTTCCACCTGTGTACTCACTGAAGGGAAACTGCAAATCACTTGTTGGTGCAACAGGAGCCATTTCCCTCATGCTTATGAGGTATTTCAGTTTTTCATTCCTTCCCACCCTGAAGTTTCTCTTTGTTTGTGTTCAGTAGGGATTAAAAACTCACAGAATGTTGTTTGGGTTTTTTTTTTTTTCTCTTGCTGTAGGCCTAGTTGACAAATGTTTGCTGGCTGCCATTACTGTTATTCCAGTATCCTTGCAAATTAACTGAAGACTTTCAGTCTAATTCAGAAAATTTAAGGGTGAATAAATACTATGTACCCCGAGGCAGGTAGGACAGATGAATTAAAAAATGGCATCTAATTGTAATGGAGACATGCTTATGCCTAAAGCTTTTGGCTTGTTTTCCCCTACAAACAACTTGACCCAACCCAATAATATGAAATCAGAGAATTCCTTGGTCAGTCTTCTGGAATATCCCTTTAGGCCTCTTCTAGGGAAAAGCAGCACTACTAAATATTTGGCTACCTCCACATCAAGTATTAAAATGTCATATTGTTTTTCCAGCCTGAAAAATTCTGGTGACCTTACTGGATGAAACAATTAATGCTGAGCCAGGCAGGCCAGAACAGAAACTCTTCGGGGGTTTTCAGGCTGAACTGCAGCCAAAACTATTTAGAAAACGTGTGAAAAATACCTTAAAATTGGTCAGTATTTTTGTGGAGAAAAATATTGGAGATGCTACTCCACATTTGAGTATCAGAGGAGTTTCTCATCAGAATGACAGAAGTCCTGATTTCTGTCCATACTGGAAGTGCACTGTACTGCACCCTTTAAGTGTTGGTCTCTTCTAAGGAGATGTTGTAACAAGAGAAATCAAAGGTTTGATTTAGCCTAAGATGACTATGTGTTTATATTCCTGCAACACATCATTTATCCAATCTACTTTGTGCTGGGCAAATAAAGCCTTATTCTATTCCTTCTGAAAACAAACAGAAAGTGAGATGACAGTACAGAGTAGAACCTAACAGTGTCTATAAGCAAAGCAAATTGTGACAGAGAAAAAACTCAGTTCAACACTGCACTGGCCAACAGAAAAACTTGCTGACTTTATGAAAATGGGATCAGAAGTGCTGCTTGAGTTTAATAAGAAACTGGCAGCATTTTGTTTACTTTAAGCTTCCCCTTATCATCTCCTGTACTGCTTCTGTTTCTTATGTCACCACTTGGAAAAGAAAATCCTTCACAGGAGGAATTCTGCTCCTTAGAATAAAGACATAGTTTAAAAACATTAGAAAACCTCTTGACTTTCTCTGGTTTTCTGCATTAGAAAGAAGGTGAGCTGAATGATCCAGAGCATTTTTTTGCACAAGTGTCTAAAGAGTTAGAAGTCCCATTATCAAAATTATTTGAAGCACATAACCCCTAAATCTTTTAGAAATATGTTTTGGCTTTTCTTTAGTCTCTTTTGAAAAATGAAGTTCATATAGCCTGTAGATGTATAAAAACTGAGTTCCCTTCCTTCCCCAGAAGATGGATATTTAGCTTCTAGAGATACAGTAAGTATAGCTCAAGAGTAAAAATAATAATATTTTTCCTTTTAAAACCTTGAGAAAAATCAACAACTTTTATAAGAGTGGATCTTAACAAGCAAATTAATCTCAGGAATCTTTAGAAAAGTTTAAAATAATTTTCTGCAAAATGTCTGATCAAACTTTTTTTTTTAATCTTAATGATGGGAAACTGTCATACCTTTCTGAATCTCTCTGGTTCTGCCCAAGATCCAGGAATCTGTTTAAAAGGAGGAAAAAAAAAAAAAGAAAAGAAAAAAAAAAAAAAGCATGAGCTCAAGATCCCAGTGGAGCCTATAAATGAGTGTTCACCTCACAGGGGATGTTTCTTTCAAATTCATGGTCACCTGGATAGAGTGAACCAGCAGGAGATTTATTTTTAATGAGCTTTTTAATACACACTAGGCAGAAAGCTGTCATGTTTTTAGGTTCTTGACCAGTTGAATCAGCTGAACAATAGCTTTGACTTTACTGACACCTATTGACTATATTTATGCTTGCAGAAGGTTTCAGCCAACAAAGCATAAGTCATTACAATCAGTGGCAAACAATTCTGAGGAACAGAGGTCATGCTTACCTTCCACCCACTTCAAAGGATTTGTGCTTTGGATTTAAACACAAGGTTTCCCAAGGCAGAACATTTTCAAATCCATCAAATTTTAGGTGTTTGAGTTCAGATACCTTCCAAAGCACTTGCATAAAGTACCAAATGCAAACCTGTAAATTCTAATCCGCTGATTATGGTACCTTGAAATTGAATATATAATGTGAGTGGTTAAGCTAGAAAAATAGTAATTAATAATTATATATGATTATGCTAAGAACATGGGAATATCTTTAGCATGCCCTGGAATATCTTATATATGGGGATGAATTCTGCCATCCTTAGCATGTTTATATATAACAACTCAGTAATTTCTTCAATCATTTGGTTGTTGCATTAAAACACCTCCTCTTTATTTCATTCCAAACCATTCGCCCATAAAGACAGTTTCAAAAAAGACTAGGTCCCTCTGTGCACAGCTACTTTGAGTCAGTTCAGTCGGTGACTATTCTGATCACTCCGTCTCACAGCAGGAGACATAAATAATCAGCAGTAAATATATTCTTACTGCAGGAACTGTCCAAATAAACGATTCAACGGAAAATGTCATGTGGATAAAGGGCAAAAAAAATAGAAATCTGTGTGCCCAAACCTAAGTGTATATCCAAAATACTTGCACACAGATTCATCTCTCAGTCGCCAACTATGTGGTTCTTTGACAACAGCCAGTTGTCACTCTGTTTTGAACCTTCCAGTTTGAGAAATATTTTGACCATTGCTTACAAAGGCAAAAAGATAGCACACAACTCTTTTAATTAAGCAGATAAACATGAATACTGTTGAATTAAGAGTAGCAATGTGAATCAACCTGAAAGAGCAGTGGCAGAGGTTAGCCAGTCACAGGTGAATTGTGTTGTCACCTACCGGTGAACTCATGGACTCCTTCAGTTTGGATTTGTAGAGCATCCACCGGTACCGCAGGTCCTCCAGATCTTCAGAATTTCCAATGACAGGATGAAGATGAAGAAGGTCCTCAAACTGATGCTGACCATCAGGCACACGAGACTGTAGCTCCTGCAGGCAAAGATAAGGTCAGTAGCACCTCAGAATTCAAAAAGAGCCCATGTTTTGAGGGACATGGAGCTCCTGGAACAGGCACAGTGGAGAGCAACAAAGATGATTAAGGGACTGGAGCATCTCTCTTATGAGGAAAGGCTGAGGGAGTTGGGCCTGTTCAGTCTCGAGAAGACTGAGTAGGACCTTATTAATGTATTCAAGTACATGAATGGAAGTGCCAAAAGGATGGATCAGATTCTTCTCAGCGGTGGAAACAAGAGGTAACAGCAAAAATGGATTCACCGGAAGTTCCACCTGAATACAAGGAAGAACTTCTTTCCTGTGCAGTCACTGAGCACTGAACAGATTGCCTAAAGAGGTTGAGGATTCTCCCTCACTGGAGATATTCAAGAACCATCTGGACACAATCCTGAGCCATGTGCTCTGGGATGGCCCTGCTGGAGCAGGGAGGGTTGACCAGATAACCCACTGTGGTCCCTTCCAACCTAACTGATTCTGCAATTCTCTTTTAAACTAGCATTTGAAAAAAACAGTGGTACTTAATCAAACTACTGGATTCTCTGGTATAGCATACTTATTTTTGCAGAAAAGCAATAATGCTTTTTTGTTCTGAACTGATATAAGAGGCTCAACTCATCTGCAGGACTCTTGTAGCCTTGGATATTTCTGTTTGTTTAATTTCTTACAGCATCCATTGTCATTGCACCAGGCCATACTCAACAGAAAAAGAGTGAGGCCAAATATCAGACAGTGATGTTAATCAGCTTCTTTTAATGAACACCTTTGTCATACCACACTGGAAATGTCCAATCCAACAGGTAGATGCCATGTGCTCACTTTCCTGCTACCACTCTGGACCTGGCAGACCTTTCTTAACAGAAGGCAGTAGAAACAATGAAAATTTTTCTATGTTCCTGAGCTTCATCTATTCTAGAATCTCCTGAGTTTTTGTCTGTTTGTTCTTTGGGGATTGTTTTTTGTTTGTTTGTTTGCAGGGGGGTGGGTTGTTGGTTCGTTGGTGGGGTGGTTGTGGGATTTTGTTGTTGCTGTTGTTTGGGTTTGGGGTTTTACCTAATTCTGAAAGAACTGGCACTTATTGCAATCTTTGTCTCCATATTCATCCTCTGAAAACTAACCTCAAGTTTGTTCCGTTGTGCCATGATTTCCTCTGGGGAAGATGGAGTCCCAGAAAGAATTTTGGTCAGTTTGGTATTTTCTCCTTGTAGCCACTCTTCAAAGTTGTGTAGGAGCTTCAAGTGGCTGCCTGTATTTTGCCCTTCTCCTATCTTCTCCTAGGTTACAGAACAACAGGAACAAAAAAGCCCATACTGTTATGTCAGATGTTTCCATTGAAGGCCTGATTGCAAGATGGCAATAAAATTGTTCTTGTGAAGCTGATATGAAAGCAGAGTCCCCATATCTCACCTGCTTACGGTTGGGATCTACATCTAAAACATGGTAGGCAGGTCTAGACATCCATCTGCTGTCCACAAGTGCTCTTTTCTTCATATCAGCCATTGGTCTACTTGGCTGCCACTTTTTGAGAAGACTTGAAAACACAAAACCAAAGACATCAGTGCAGCAGAATATCTATTGACAAGACATCCACATTTTGACTGAGGCTATGAGGGACAGCTCTGCTGAAACAGCACTATTGCTATTATTATGCTATTATTACTATTAAGGTTATTCCCAACATCTTTTTAGCAAAATGAGAGCAAGACAGAAGTGTCTTAAAGCTGCACCAGCACTCAAGTTCTAACATTTCCAAGTGTTTTGTTTTTCTTTAGTCAGGGAAATAAAAATATTACCTTGACAATGTACCTTCCTTTCTGGTAACAACAAGCAGTACAATCAAGCCTTCCTCAATTTAGCCATCTCAATTTTATGCTTCTTCTGACACTATGTATGAATTTAATCATACATGTAGCACAGTATTAAATTTTAATACAGGGTAGCAAATATGAGCATCAATGTGACACTGCACAGCAGAAGCAAAATAAGCTAACTCCTCATTTCTCAGCTAAGAGAGGATTTTAGTTCTGTTTATACTCTTGCAGGTTTGCAGAAGGTACAAATCCCATTGCAGATATATCCTCCTTGGAGATATCTCCAGATCAGAGAGTGAGGAGAACAGGAAGGTGAGACAGAACAGAAAAGTCACCCAGTCTATGCCAAATTTCCTCTGACACAGACTGGCAGTACAAGGGTGAGCCAGGTCTGAAGAAGACACTGCCTGCTCCAAGCATGAGGCAAAGACAGATTCATTCCAGGTTCATGGACTCTCTACAATAGTTTTCTTGAAAGTAACAATTTTCAGTTTACAAACAATTAAACAAAATCTCATCTTGCTTCTAGAATGGTAACACAACTGTTCACTTTCACAGCACAGAGCATAAAGCTGTCTGGTCATGTGAACAGCATACCCTTGAAGGGACATGGGGAAGATATATGTGAACACTTACCCAGTTGCCATCTCCTTCAGTGATTTCCATGACTCCTTCAGCTGATCCAGCTCTGCCTGGACATGGGCAGTCTCCTCTGGAGAAGAATTCTCCATGACCAGCTGGCCATGAGCTTCCACAAGATGAAGTTGGATCTCCTTATCTGGAAACTCAGCTAGGCATCTCTGAAACGCACAGCCCTTACAGTTACTTCTAGGTATCCTGGGTAAAGCAGAGGCTATGTCAGACTGAAGGCCATGTTCAGTCCAGGACTATGCTGGTTCTGTTGGCACTAGCTAGAACATACCTAGCGGGAAAAAAAATATGCTGTGGATTCTTGCAAAGAGCCAACACAGATCAAAGAGCTGATGGCAAAAGTGGAAGGGTGTGAGCTGTCCATGCATCCCCTTCTGTAGCTTTCCCATGAAATATTTTGGTTTCCCCATAAGAAGGAAAAAATTGCCAGCTGAAGTAACCTACCAGAGTGAATGTAGCATGCGAAGTGCTGCTACCCAGGGGAAAACTAGAAGCTTTGGAATAGCTTGGTTCAACAAAGTATAAGGCTCACTAACATGGCAGTAATGTTCAGTTTATCAATGAGTACATACAGGCAAAGGCAGGTATTTTGCAGAGAGATCACCCTGACAGGAAGAGCTCTTTTAAAACCACCTGTCCTTCGATAATACATTATCCATCTCAACAGTTCTGAGTCATTTTTCACTGCTCTTGTCTTCTACCTAGCTCCACATGCCACAACATGGGGCAAAGCAGGGAGGCAGCAGCAACCAACAGTTACCACAGGAAGAACAAACCATCATTACTCTACCGAAACAGGAAATCCTTACTAGAAAGCTCCTTACCAGAAACCCACACTCTTAATATCTGAATGCTGCAAAGTGAATAATTAACATCTTAAACTAAGATGCTTTTCTCACCTCAAGGTCTTCTACCCTGCCCTCTGTGTTCTGCTCTCCATCAGCACCCTGGTAGGAGTCAATCTTCTCCATGGTTACTGTGATCCACTGCTGGAGGTCAGAGAGTTTGTCATTATACGCCCAATGCTTCTGAACATGGTCTTCACTCTGCTGTATCATCATCTACAAATGATAAAAATAGGTCAGCAAGTAAAGACAGACAAAAAAGCAGTTTCTTTCCTGGATCTAACACAATGATGGGCACAGAATCTCACAGGCAAAAAGATAAAAAAACAGTTGTTAATGAGAGACGAAAAACTGTCCTTTTGCATCAGAGGTGTAGAAAACACCTCCAAGCTCCTGCAGGCCTGAATTCAACCACACGAGGGGGGCATTAAGCACTAGAACAGCTCTAGTTCCTTCTCAGCTGAAATGGAATAAAGAACACCTATGTTTAGTGCTTTTCTACCCCACTCAATATTAACTACATCTTACATTCCCCAAATCAGAAGTGACTGTACAGACTTTCTTGGCAAAAGTCCAGTTCAGCAATAAATGGGACTACTGAGATTAAAACTAGAATTTCACAGTGCACATTAGGGTAACAGTTTATTGTAGGTAATTTTATAGTGAACTGCATAACTTCATAAGCTCTTCTTCTGAGACTGCTTGGGAAGGTCATTTTATAGCTGTGTTTACAAGCTACAAAATGCTTCAGGACTAAACAAGTATTTATGCAGTTGCAATACTTTTCCCTCATTAACTTTTGGGTCACAAAGCTATAAAAATCCTAAACACTTTGGTATAAAAACCCTATCCAGGAATATGTGAAGTCCAAGCACCACCATGATAGTATAACTACAAGGTCTTTTGGTCAGAAATCTCAGGCCCACTCCAGAAATATTCATGTAGACATAAAATCTGTGTGGTTGGTATCCTATCCCAAAGAGAAATCACATTACAGATCATCAGAGAATCCTGGAAGTGTTATCAAATTCATAAGAATTCAGTGCCTTCTTCCCCTGACATGAAAATATCTGTCACTCAATGCATATAATGTCATAAGCTCAAAGATTTTTAAGCATTTTTAAGCAGTGGCAAACTGACAGCTCCTCAGGCAACTAAAAACTCTTCCTTATGTTACCTCCAGTGACCTCTTCAGGGCTTGAGAGTCAGATGAAAGTTGGTTCATTTCATGCCTGTGTGTGGTATTGGACTGAACAAGCTTCTCTACCTCTTCCATGTGAATTGCAAGCTCTGCCAAGTCATCTTGGATCATCTGCAGAAGAAAAGACAGATCCCATATGGGCAGTGTGCCAGACATGGCATGGACCTTCACAAAATATACCTTAAAGGTAGACAGAGTGAGGACAAAAAGACCCAACAGCAATGATTGTCGTTGCGAAAATCAATTGTTTTGATGTCTAGGAGTAAATGTTGAAATGGTTTGATGCCCTCACATGCTACCAGCAGACAACAAAGCAGGTAAATTGCTGAGCAGCTGCAAAAGGAGATGTGATATAACCAGGTTAGTACTACAAAGAACTGTGGTGCTAACACCCTTGTGGTCTCCAGGGATGAAGCAGCATGGTATAGCTGAATCACCACAGCTCACCAAGGCTGAGAGTCACATCCTCTCTCTCTTCCCCTTCTGGTCATCTCTCCCCTCTCCCTGGTAATCCACTGCATGCCCTGAACAGGTTTTACTACATGTTCAACCCTTTGCTGAATCAGTTCAAAACACTAACCAAGTGGAAAATTATAATCTTTTTCTGTTGATTATTTTTTATTTTTATTTTTTTTCTTATCTTGACCAGCTGAATCAATCTGGAGTAAATCCAATGTGCCAAAGCTGTGACAAGGTAAAGAGCAGAAAGCAGGGGGAATGCAGAAGGAGGTGGGACAATGGGAACTCCCTGTTTTTGGAGTAAGTTATACTGGTTCAAGTTATCTTGTGCAGCTTCACTCCCAGTGGGAAGTATCAGGATACATTTCATTTAGCAATAAATCTAGCCCAAGTAGGTGTGACACCAACAGCTTCCAGCTGCTTGTTCCTTCCCTCAAGCCCAGTTTGCCAGTGCTTCATCTGCACTGCTTTAATTTCATTTATTCCATGCTATAAAGTGGACCAAATGAAATTATCTAACACAAGCAATTGAGGGGACAGGTGCTGAATTTCTAATGCTAATAAAATATGAACAAACAGGATCACAATTAGCTGAGGATATCATGGCCAAGCATTACTGTAATGTACCTGGAGTCTCTGGAGTTGGGTCTTTTTACCCAAGAGGTCAGGCTGAGGTTCCTTCTCTAGATCTAATTTGGCTTTGATGGCAGACAGTTTCTTCTGCAAAGGTGCAAAACCAGCATCAAAGTTCTTATGTTGCGATATCAAATTCTAGATGAAGAAAGAAGAATAAAATAGATCCAGCATTCAACATAAATACCTTGGCATTATCTTTTATCAATATCCACTTCATATTCAGAAGAAACACTGAGCTAACTCTATGCAACAGACCACAAATTTATTTGAATATTTGATCAACCTAGAAAAAGGGATTGGGCTGGTTAGTACTAAATATATATCTATAAACCTGGCTTAGTAAAGACTTGATCATTGTCACAGACAAAGTCTGCTATGGGTTTTGAAGTTCACCTGGAGTTTGCTCTTGCTTTGAAGCAGACGTTTGTGTAGAATTTCTCTCTCCTTTGAGGCTTCAGCTACTTCTTGAAGGAAAGACTCTGCTTTTTCCTCACCAAGGACATTGTTTAGCAAATCTTTCTTCAGCTGTAATGTCATCAACTTCTCTTTGAACTGGGAGCTTTCAGCTAGAGCAGTCTAAAGGAGAAAAATCCTTCCAGTGAAATTATATTAAAAATAATTTGCAACCATATTGTTCTCACACAAGTCACACAACCAAAGTCAGGTGAAAACAGCATGCTGGCTGAACAAGGGGTAACAGATGGTACCTGGACAGTGCCCAGTTTAAGGAAAAGTCTTCCTGATAATGTTAGAGGCACCAGGGCTGCATCCATTTTGTGAACAAAATAGAGGAAAGCTGTACTATGGAAAGAGTTGTCTGTGCAGAGGAGAGGCCTAAACAACCAACAGAAAGGACAGCTTGAATGCTCATCCTGAGGATAAGCTCCATCCCTCTTCACAGACACATTTATCCTGGGGATCACAGGGATGACAAAGTAACAAAACACACTTTGCTGGGCACATGTAGAAATTGTGCATTATAATCCCATGACTATGTCACTACACAATTCTTAAGAGTCCACAAACTTCCCATTCAGGAAGACCTGGGCTAATGCCAAACAGTGCTATCATTGTTAAAGATATCTAACACTTCAATGCAGCCTACTCCACTGACAGCTCCAGTTAGCCAAATGGAGGGCAGAAAGTAAGACAATGTGCTACAACTAGAGCTAAGTATAGACCTCTGTCCATACTGTAAGATTTCCTGCCATACTGGAAAGGCCCTTCCAGCTGTTGCTGGCTGGCAGCTGTATTCAGGCTTGGTCACACACAAACCAAGTATCAGTTTCTGAATTTAGTAACAGGTTTGCTACCTCAATGTGAGCCAGTTCTGGCTCTGGAGTCTCCAGGAGCATCTGGACCGACGGCTTCCACTGATCGAAATTTTCCAGGGGATTTTGGAATAGTCTTCTCAGTTGGGTTTCTGTATCAGTGCTCATCTTAGAAGTCTTGCTTCTAACACTGCAAGGATAAAGGGGCATCCAAGTGAAGGATTATGAAGAAATCCAAGTCCAAACATCCTATTCATCAAGGCATGAATTACACATGAGTACTGTGTTAAGTCGCAGCCAACACAAAAGCCTCAATCTTTTTTACTGTCTGTGCCTGGTGCTCAGACAGACAGCTGCTCTGTCAGTCAGGGACATCTGACCAAACTTTATTTAGATGCCATAAGAGACATTTGTCTCTTGTGCAACTGTGTATCAGGGATTACTCTGCCTTTCTAGTAGCCAGCAGTCTCCCCTTGTATGAGATCTTTCTTGGCTGCTATCACCAGCATTATTTAACAAACCATATTATCGGAGCAGACTGAAGGGAGAAACAAGCCAAGAGTGTCTAGAATGTAACTGCAGTTGCCTGTATTATTTCACATGCTGCTGAGTCTTTGTTCCTTTAAAAATCACACTAAAAAGTGTTTGATCACCACAAAAAGTTTCAGATACAATTTTTTTACATTTTTTCAGAACAACTTGTATTTACACTAATACATACAGGAGATTCTGATAAAAGCCTGGTATTTATATATGTATCCACATATATGCACAGCTATGCTGTGTGTGCATATATATTGGGGAAAAAAAGTTAAATCAGCACACATTCAATAAATATCCAGGCTTGTCTTACAAAGGCTTACGCAAAACACAGCTGAGTAACAAGGCCCAGTAGTGACACACCCCATGCAGCTGCCTCCTGTTTTTCCCAGCTTTCCTGACCTCCCAGTTTGCAGAATCCTGACTGACACAGCAAAATGCAGCCCAAACTTTGTTCATATGGGAGCAGTACCCTGCAAATCCACAAGACAGGCAGGCAAGAGCGATGTCAATCGAGATCAATACTGCCTTCCTATAAAAATGGAGACAACAATCCTGCCTGTGTATCCGGGACATGACGGAGCAAAATGAAGGCCTTGCAGAGGCCAAAAGCTCCACAAATAGAAAATTCTGACTTCAGATGTCCTCTGCCATTTGCCCTGCTGCCCCTGTCAGGCTCAGCGTGAAGCTGCCAGGCTTCCCAAAGAAGCTTTGGAGAGAAGCTGGCACAAGAGCCGCTGCCATTTTCTACTCAGAGGCAAGTGCCCTGCCTTCTCTGCTCCTCTTTTGACATTGTTTACTTGCTAGTTTTTAAAACTGTAATCCTTTCCCATAATGATCTCTAACCCTCTCAGCAGGACAGCAGACAGCACACTGGACAGAGGAAAATAAGCTTGGATACAGTAAAAGAACTGACCTTTCTTTTTTCCCTTAAAAAAAAAGATCCTTTCTTCTAGTTTGCAAAATTTGCTGCAGCTCCTTTACTTCCTGATTCCAGGCAGCCTGGAAACGGAAACACTGAAGTCTGGGGAGAGGCTAAACTTTCAGAGTTCCCAACCCATGGCAAGTTGAAGGCAGGAACGTGCACATAAGCTGCCAGGAGAAGGGGAATAAACTCTGCCAAAGAATTGCTAAGGCTGGTGAGTCACCACAACAAACTCAGCAAGGGAGGGCCATTAATTCTTCTGAACCGTTTACTACCACAGCTCCTGTCCTGATTTTCCAGTTGCTGTCATGAGAGGCAAGCAAAATACATAAAATTATTATCATAAAATGCTAAGAAGATCAAGTTAGCTGCCAACAATCTCATTTTCTTCAAACCATACATGACATTAACGACGCAAGATTATTGCTTGAAAATGACCAGCAGCCTACAGCTCCTAGCAAATGGCTAAAATTACAGCTCTACCGAAACGTGGAGGCGAATGTAATTAGAAAAAGCTTTCCTTTTCTGCCCATCAGCTACAATCAGATGCCATTTCACTTCTTTCTTAGGCCCCTATCAATCCCTACAATGTCTGAGAGAATATTCCTCCCACATCCCCAGTGCAATCAGACTTCCCAGTACCTTTGATACTGCTGTATTGCAGACACAACACTCTCAGCATGTGGCTGCACATCTTGGGAAAACCGTAGCAGTTCCTTAAGCTGAGCCTTCAGCCTCTCAACCTTGGACTCTTCTGCAGCCAGAGCTGCTCTTGTTGCCTTAATCATAAAAACAAAGAACAGATCACATCTTATGTCGTGTCTGGCCCGTGAAATGAAGAGGTAAGGCTGTCTCTTAGGGTATGCACAAACCCCCTTTCTACCGTATTTTTTTCCTGGTTATAAAGGCTATTGACTTTGCCAAGGCAGAAAACATTCTTGGGAACAGCTTTGTTCCAGCAGGCTCTCTCCTCTCCTTGCACTGCCCAGTCTCTGCATCTGCACTGCAGGGTTCAGTCTTGAACAGAGTGAATCACAAACAGGCCCAGTTTCAGTTCACTGATTGCAGTACACAACGCGAGATGCATTTTTCAAGCAGTCTTAATGGCATCTGTTTGCATGAACAGATCTTTTTCAAAGACTCACATATGTTAATTCTAGGGTGACTCAGGGAAATAAAAGCAACTAAACCCTATGCAAATGTAGCTGGATTGAGCCAGTCTAAATATTGTGGATCCTTTTTGCATATACTTTTCTCAGCTAGTCCTGCTGAGTTCTAGACATACAAACAGCAATGAAAGGCATTTTGAGAACAGATAATAAATGCAAAACCAGCCCCCAAGAGGAAATGAGTGGTAAAGATTCTTATCTACTTTATGCATGACAAATACTTTGCATTCATTTTTGCAACAGATTGATTTTGGTGTGAGTACTGGATTGTTACAATCCTGGGACTTCTTAGTAATGAAGATGTATCTGCCAGTAAAGGAATACAGGTACTCACACAGAAGAAAGATATAATATAGAAATGATCTTACCAAACACCTCAGAAATAAGTGTATTTGTGTCTATGTGTGTCTGTGTGCATGTATTTGTGTATACAGTGAGACATTATTTTCCTGCTTCTTTTCAAAATTATGTTTTTTGCTCTGTGTTGTGCTCTTTTTGCATATGGTCACTTTGAACTACAGACACAAACGCCAGCACATCCTCCAACCAATTGCATATGGTCACTTTGAACTACAGACGCAAACTCCAACACATCCTCCAACCATGCTCCTCCCTCTGTGCAGCATGAGATGAAGGCTTGGGCAGTCGATTCCATCGTTGCTAGTCACATTTTCCACAGTCTGTTTCATACACACTCATACTCTTTTCTTACCATCTTTAACCAATGGGACAGGCACCTGTTGGATGTGACTATGCATGTTCAGTTTATGGCTGCATTTGATCCTGCTGATTTTAGGCATATGAAGGGTAACAACTTACATTACATTTTTTCCACAGAGTTATAAATTCATCTTCAGTCTTTTCCCCTTCCCCAGGGTCCAGGTCACTTTGTAGTCTCTGTAGATCTTTTCTAAGCTCCTGGATGTCTGCTTCTAATTGTCTCACTTGGGACTCATAGGCACTTTCTGACTGTTGGATCTTGAGCAATCTCTCCTCCTCCCCACTACTAAGCAGTTTCAACTTCTCCAAGGCTTTTCTTAGCTCTTCAAGTTCGTCCTTCAATCTCGCAGCTCCGAGTGGAGAGGTATTCTCAATCACCTCTGCACATTGATTTTCAAGGTGCTTCCATTTCTTTTCACCACTCCTGATGTTTTTGGCAATTTCCTGAAAAAAATAAAAAAGTAGTTAAATAAAGATTATCTGCAGGAATGGGAAGCTGGGGAAAAAGCTGAAAGCAGTAGATAAAAGGCCACCTCTGGTTGTACATATTTTGTTCTTCACTTCTCATTTCAAAGAAGATGTTTTTTTCAAGTGACCAGAACACCAGGGTTGGTCATTTGACTGCCTTCTGAGTAATACTAACTGCCATGATTCTGAAAATATGGGCTTGATTTTCATATATCACCTGAGGTCCCTCACAAAACTGGAGGTACAGGCACTTGAGAAAAATGAATAGTCAGATCTCAGAGATTTTAAGCTAAACAGTTTCAGCAGTGGCACCAAAACAACAGGTATTGTTCTCACAACTGGTATTTTCATCACCAGCTTTAAACTCTCAAAACCTGTGAACCCTCAGGCTCTATTTGGATCATGTTTACCAAATACCATTTATTTAAACAAGTTTAAAGGGCAAGACTCTCAAAGAATCACATAACCCTAGGAGATCAGACTGTCAGAAAAACAAAACAAAACTGGAGGTACAGGCACTTGAGAAAAATGAATAGTTAGATCTCAGGGACTTTAAGCTAAACAGTTTCAGCAGTGGCACCAAAACAACAGGCATTGTTCTCACAACTGGTATTTTCATCACCAGCTTTAAACTCTCAAAACCTGTGAACCCTCAGGCTCTATTTGGATCATGTTTACCAAATACCATTTATTTAAACAAGTTTAAAGGGCAAGACTCTCAAAGAATCACATAACCCTAGGAGATCAGACTGTCAGAAAAACAAAACAGACCAGTCTGTGACTCATGCTACAATTGGGAAAATCATATGTACTAACACTTTCAGGACCTGATACAACTCCTCTGCCCTAGCCCACGTTAAAATCATGATCTTACTTAACACTTTTAGGACCTGATACAACTCCTCTGCCCTAGTCCACGTTAAAATCATGATCTTAATATGTTTGTGTAATTCTTTTCCCAAGTACACCCTTGTGTGATTTGAGAAACATACACAGGCATGAAAAACACACAATCCTAACTGAGAGTTATATTGTTCAAGGACCTTCAGTGCCGTTAACTTGTCCTCTGCTGAAGACTTTGTTGCTGGACCTGATACAACTCCTCTGCCCTAGTCCACGTTAAAATCATGATCTTAATATGTTTGTGTAATTCTTTTCCCAAGTACACCCTTGTGTGATTTGAGAAACATACACAGGCATGAAAAACACACAATCCTAACTGAGAGTTATATTGTTCAAGGACCTTCAGTGCCGTTAACTTGTCCTCTGCTGAAGACTTTGTTGCTTCTCCAATGCAGCAGTTTAATCTTTCTGTCACACCATTCAGCCACGATTGAAACTGGTTGACATTAGCGCTGTACTGCTCATGTTCCTTGGTTATCGTTTCAAGCAGTTTCACTCTGTTCTGTAACAAGACACATCAGAAGCAGTGAGGACAGTGCTTATCTGGCTCTTTTTCCTTTACATTGTAACCCAGAATTTATAAACAAAAGTCCCTTTCCACAAGCCCCGATAACACTTGGCCTCAACAGGAATTCAAAGTTCACCTCGAGAAACAGAACACAAAAATACATAAAGTCTTGTCCCCATCTAGGTCGTGCTGCAGGCTCTTCATGGCCAATGTCTGAGAAGACAAACTGCAAGGTCCTCTCATGTCAATTTCTGGCCTCTCCTTTCCAAAACTTCCTATTCTCTCAATAGAAAAAGAAAAGAGAGGAGTTCGTTTCTGGCTTTTCTTTTGGTTAAAAATAAAGATGAGCAGCCAACAGATTGACTTTGCTTATCTCTCAAAATGAAAATAATAAGACAGACTTCATGAGGAGCATGTGAATTGTTCTAAAGTATTCATTATTTAAACAGGTTGCATGGAAAACAACCATCACCTTCAATCATGTAGCCCAGGTAATTTCATATTTACTCACTTAGCAGATCACAAACTGTTCTGTGGTGGTATCACAGACCAGAATTTGGAACCAAATTCAAGCTCATGGAAAGCAGGCTTCATTTTCCCCAGCTGCTGCATGTGCAGCCTATAACTGACTATCCCAGAATTTACAGGGGCCTGCATGTCAAGTGTTGCTCCCTGCTGATCCAGTCTGGCACTCCTCACAATAAGGCAGAGTCACATTTGTTCAGACCAACCTCATTTGCCAGCTGAAGTTTAGGCCTTGCTGAAGCAATTTTGACACAAATCATGAGGTATCTTGCTCCGCTGTTTCACTAGTATAATATCCAACCTAAGTATTATTTTCTACAAAATTAAACTTATGTTTTCTTGCCCTTCACCAGCTGGCATGGAAAGCAATTGAGATACACCATGGTTACATCAGGAGGAAAAAAATAAATTCTTGTGCAATCCATTTAGTGCTTACAGCACCCTTGAAAGGCTTTGCTGTCACAGGCAATGGGTTGTTTCATTTTGTGTAATACAGGACATGTCACTTGCCTCTGAGCAGAGCTTCCTCACAGCTGCCTTCCACAGAGAGCAGAGTGACAGCTGCAGTGGTGGGCAGAGCTGCAAAGTCTCCTCTTCTATGCCCTTGTCTCTGTGAGGCTCTGCACATGGCCCCAGACCCATCAACCTGCCTGAGGTGGCAATGACCCATCACCATTCTGTCAGCCTACTCTCCAGCCAGGCCAGCAGAAGAGTGACATAAGCATCAGTTACCATGGCATATGCCATGTGCTGGGGGTGGTGGTCCCTCCAGGACTTTGCCCTTCACCTTTGGAACAGGTTATGCCCATGGTGCAGTACAAAGCCACCACTCTGCAGGTGGCACAACACTGTTCTGTTTTCCATGCTGCCACTGCAACCTCTGCTGACTTGTGCAAATCATGAGTGATTCTCATAAAGTTAGTTGACTCACTGTGGGACAAAAGAGGGACAGCTAACAACTGCTTCCCATGGAGGATGAAATGCTGCTCACTTATTAGAGCATGACCTTTAATAGCCTCACTCATGCACAGGACTGGATGAGACCAAAAGGCAGAATTATGACTGCAGATTTCTGTAGCCAAGATGTATCCAGCAGAACAGCTCACTTGCTGAATCCCTTTGTCTTGATTCTCAGATCTGAAGAGGTTAAATTCACACCTCAGCCTCAAGCTAAGGACTTGAAGAAGGCATAGTGGTGTAAATGGGTCACACATTGAAGTGAATCAAGTAGTCAGGTCAAGCTTTTGAATCCAGGGAATTAAGCTGATTTGTTGCACCGACAGAAACTCCAAAGGGCATAAATCAGAATAACAAAGCAGAGATACTATTAAGCTCAAAAATCTTGTGCTAATATGTAAAGAGGGTTAAAAAGGAAGTCAAAGCGACCCACCCCTGGCCAAGGCTATTCAGCCAAAACAAAGGGAGTGTAAGGTTTGGATGCACTGCTGCTCTGTGAGGTCCAGGAAAAGATGCCATGGATCTGGACAGACTGTGCCAGCTGTCAGACAAAAGGTTTACAGAGAGTTGGCTGAGCCCACTCTACCCCAAGAGGTTAGGCAGGAAAACTTTCTGCTGATGAAAAATACAGTATCACATGCTCCTGTTAGGTTAGCTGCTCAGGGAGCAGGGCACTGTGAAACTCAATGTCCACATCCACTTGTTTAAAAAGATGCCATGGATCTGGACAGACTGTGCCAGCTGTCAGACAAAAGGTTTACAGAGAGTTGGCTGAGCCCACTCTACCCCAAGAGGTTAGGCAGGAAAACTTTCTGCTGATGAAAAATACAGTATCACATGCTCCTGTTAGGTTAGCTGCTCAGGGAGCAGGGCACTGTGAAACTCAATGTCCACATCCACTTGTTTAATGTGAGATAAAGCAAG